GTCTGCGCAGTTCCGATTACCTTGATCATCCACGCATCTTTTCGAATTACTTTAGTGATCCCGAAGACTTGGCGACTATATTGCGCGGGATACGCTTCATCGAACGCTTAGAGCGCACAAAGGCCATGCGGGAACTAAATGCAACCCTGTTCCGTATACCACTCGAGGAGTGCGATGAGTACGAGTACCGCTCCGAAGCCTACTGGCGTTGCTACGTTAAATACTTCGGAGAAGCGGGTTATCACCCGACCGGCACCGTGAAAATGGGCCCCAGTAGCGATCGGGGTGCGTGTGTGGATCCACGCTTACGACTTTATGGTGTGGAGAACTTGCGAGTGGCCGATGCCAGCATAATGCCCGATGTGCCACATGGAAATACGAATGCACCGACGATTATGATTGGCGAAAGAGGGGCGGACTTTGTAAAACAGGATTGGAAAGAGGATGACCAAGGGGCGAATGAGTCAAAGTGACGTAGTTTAAATGCATTATAAGTCGAACAATTTCTTTTACAATCACGTTTTTTTTTAACTAATCCTCCTCCGAAAATAAATGCATAAATTTCTATTCATTGGAGTCTTTCTCTGCACNGCTGCGTCAATCTAGTCAACTGAAACTAGTACAGGGCTTTGGAGGAAGTTAACCACCGTTCTCTGTAGGCTAGGGTATGCCTTGTGAGCAAGCAAGATTTCCGCTAAGAAGCTACTGCTGAAAATACCCCTTTGGGAATGAAAGCCCAAGTCACGACATTTTTTCACCACAGGGAAAATATTCAGGAAGCCACATAGAACGAATTGACCCAGCTTTGAACAGGTGGACCATAAACGCGATATACTTGCAGATGATGATGATCTTAATGAACTTTTGCTTTACAATCGCTACAGGTTCAAAGAAAAAGTTAGGATCGAGCGAAGTTTTGATCTACCATCTGCACCTTTTTTTTGTAGGCAAGGATCCCTTCTGAAATAATTAGCGCTAAAGGACCGACATTTACGGAGCCTTAAGGCCCACGAAAAACTATAGCAAGATCCCTACGACTTCACTGTCCTCACTCACTTTCATTTCTTTAGAGTAGGTCAATTCCTCACAATTCCTGAACCAGACCAGCAATGCTTATTCCTCACAAATCGTTGGGAACGAATAAAGGTTCTCCATCGTGAATTCAGTCGCTGATGCATGTAGGTTTATCTCAAAGCTTAACGCTGAGTGTACTTTTTATGGAGATCCTCCTATGCAAAAAAAATACTGAAAGTCCATTCTGCCTTCGCAGCGGATTTTCTAAAAAAAATTAAAATTTTTTGAATTGAGCCGCTCTCCGAAATCGAGTATGTTTTCGTGAAGCAAAATAATTTTTTGGGGAATTTAAATCTGCGATCTCCACTTTACGGACACGGTCTACTCCTAGCCATGTTTTAAGACCCTGAACTTTTTAGAAGCCTTTTGCAGCTCAAG